GGCAAAAGAATCGAAGACTTTTCGCCATTTGAGACTTCAAATAAATAGCCAACCACAAACTCAAAGACAATTCACGTCTATTTAGTTGGTCGAGACTCTTAAGGCAAACAGATGCTACGACTCCAACCCCGTATCTAGTTGGCCGTCGTTCGTCGACTGCTAACTCAATCTCGGCTATCTAGTCCAAAATTGTGTCAACGATTGATAAGATTAGACTTCACAAAGGGGTGCGAAAGATTCGCGTAAAACATGTGTTTGTGTGAAGAGTTGAAGGTCCTTTCATGTTGCTATACTGCTCCATTCACAATTCATCCTTCACCACTAATCTTCGACCGAATTCTATTCAAACTACGTATTTAAACCTACCCCTCGAAACAACCAACTCCAATTCTTATCTAAACCTTCTTTTATCTATATATATAAAGGGAGAAGGCCAGTTTGGTGAAGCATTCAAAATGCCAAGAATGCATTCACTTCAGGGAAAAAAAAACACAAAATCATCCTAATAGAATACGGTTAAAATCGTAATACGCAATTATAATAGGGCTGAAATCGTAATACACACATATAATATTCAGAGATGTTTGTACAACCGTTAGATGAAAAACATCCCCCATTCAAACAAATTGTAACCCTTCAGATGAAAGACATTCTACAAGCAGTTGCTACAATGGAAACTGCAACCAACCGCACGTTCAAGAGGCCATAACGGCTTACTCAATCCCCACTATTCATAGAAAAAGGAGAAACGAACTTAACCGCACATAGCCGTTTCTCACATCGTCTGATTTATGCTTCTTCTTCGTCCACTTTCATCATCTTAAATTTCCTATTCATTTTGCTCAGTTTTTGTTCAATTTCGATAAGGTATTACAGCTCGAAGCCGATTTGCAGATTTTAAAAATGGTGGACGCTGGGCAAAAAACACTTGGACAGGTAATTCAATTTCAATGCCAAGACCGTTCATTTCTTTTGGATAATTTGATCTTTCGTTGATTTCAACTGAATTCTAAAAAAAAAATTAATTTGCTTAGTTTAATTTGTAGTTGTTCATTTCTGATGAAGAGCTATGAATGTTATGAATTACTACAGGTTTAAACTAACGATATGTTCAACAATATGAAATTGCTTTGTGTTTTAAGATCTTCATCCGAATAAAGTTTTGTTATTTCTTATGGTGGACTTCCGTTTGCAGTTCGGAGCCAATGTGCGTATTTTGAAGACGGTGTATGCTGGACCAAAGGTCTTGGATGGGTAATTCAATTTCAATGGCAAGACCATTCATTTTTTTTTTTGAGTAAGTTTGGTCTTCTGCTAATTTCGACCAAACAAATTTATTTGCTTAGTTTAATTTGTAGCTTCTCTGCTCGAAGCGTCCTCCCTCTTCCTACTACCCCACGTCACTCTCTTTTGGAAGAATTTGTTTACGTATTGAGAGATTGAATTGCTGCTTGGAAATTCGGAAAATTTATGGTCTTTGTATGGTATTTTAGGTTTAGGATACGTAAAGATTGTGTCTTTGATGTATAATTAATATTGAATTTGATGAACTGATAGGAGCATATTTATGCGACTTAGTTAGCTTGTTTCCTTGCACTTACGTAGTTAGTTTTTACTTTTTAGAATGTTTTAAGCCATTTTCGTGTGTTTGTAGGTTCAAATGGCAAAAGTGGCAAGAAAAGGCAATTTGGAGCATTTTAGAGCAGTTTTGGGCTGGGAATGACAACATATGAATGGAGCAAGGTGGATGGACGTTTTTGAAGATCAAAAGAGGCTAGGAATGTGCTAAAGAGTTGAAGGAATTAATTCAAGACATAGAAGATAAGGAATCAGCTATAAAGAAGGAACATTATCCAAACCAACCTTATCTTATCCAGTCTTATCTTATCTTATCCCATATGATCCAAACATTATCCTATTTAATCCAACATTATCTAAACTTATCTCCAGCTGCAAAATGAGTCCTTATCCTATTCTAAATCATTCCTATCTGAATTTAGGAGTCCTAATCCTTCTAAACACATTAATTCTTTTCCCCCTAGGAATCTGCCGCACCCAGTCCTTCTCCTCTACAACTTTGTGCCGTGTATCTACCCTATAAATACACACCCTTGCCGCACCATGATAGGAGCATATTTATGCGACTTAGTTAGCTTGTTTTCTTGCATTTTCATAGTTAGTTTGTGTTTATCATAGTGATTTAAGCTATTTTCGTGTGTTTGTAGGTCCAATTGGCAAAGTTGGCAAGAAAGTACATTTTGAAGCATTTTAGAGCAATTTTGGGCTGGATTGGATTGCATGCATGTGGAGCACAAGGAATGACCGTTTTTGAAGATCAAATGAAGCGAGGAATGTGCTAAAGAGATGGAGAAATTAATTCAAGACTTGGAAGATGAGTAATCAGCTGCAAGGGGACCTAAATCCCTTCTCTTATACATGTGCCGCACCTACCTTTCTAGAAGCCCTAGAAAGGTGGCGCCCCAAACCCTTCTAGAAGTTCCAATTTCTGCCACAAAACATTTTCTTTCTAGAAGCCTAAAAGAGTGCCACACCTATTCTTTCTAGAAACCCTAAAAATCTGCCAGAAACCCTAGTTATTTTCCCCCTTGGATTGGGCCAAGCCTTGTGCCGCAAACCCTAAGCCTTTTCCTCCAGAAATTCGGCCAAACCCTAACCTATAAATATATGTTTTCAGCCATAATTTCAACCTACCACCCCCCATATAATTCTACACCCCCTTTCAGCCGCAAAAACACTAATTAACACCCTTTGCCGCAACTTTGGAGAAGAAGAAGCCTTTGCTGTGGCTTCCATTGGAGAAGGAGGACCTTGTGCGCAAGCCACCTGCAACCATTGGAGTTCTAAGAGTTCTTTCTTCCCTCGTTTCGTTTCCATGTTTATTTTTTGTTGCTTTTCAATTGTTATAAACATGTGGATCTAATTCCTTTTTAGTTAGATGTGAATTCAAAGCCATGGACATATGTTTAATATGAATTGATTACTTTCAGTTTTTGTTTTGTAAAACATGAATGTGATTTTACTTATCTGTTTGATTGAGAACTTATTCTTGTGTGTTGATTGAGGATGCATACTTAGTTTGCATGCATGAATCTGATGCTAAAATATAAGGGAGTTTCACTTAACAGTTACAAACTTATATTTACAAGTAGTGAAGGTTGCTAGTCACAATCGTGTTAAGTAGATTCTTGGCAGGAGTATCATGCAGTTCATAGTTATGAATGCCATGTCAATGCTTATGATTTTCATAGAACGTAATGATCTTTGATATGTATCTCTTTTATGCTGTTCATATAGGGAACTTGATATGAATAATTTGGTTGCGATGCATTGTCCATTCAATTCAATGAACTTAGGAAAATTTGAAAGTTAATTAGTGCATTCACAATTAATTTGGGGCATTGTCATTCATGGTTTGAAGAAACAATACTGGAAATCAATTTATGTGCATATGTTTCATTTGTGGAGAAGGACCCTCTAACTAGCTTTTCACCCTTGAATTCATCTTAATTTCGTTTTAACTTACTTTGTTTGCTGCAATTTACTTAGTTTTGTCAAATTCGTCCAAAAAACCCTTTAGTTCTTATTTAGTGTCTTAGTTTAGTTAATTTCGTTCAAATCTGTCCCCATTTGGTATTTTGAGTCAAGTTAGTTTAGAATTTGTCCAAATCACTCTTTAGTAGTTGTTTTGAGTCTTTTTAACTTAGTTTTGCTGTTTTGAGTCAATTTGATCAGTTTTGAGTCATAAGAGTCTAGTTTTCTGTTTTTGAGTCTAGTTTAGTGTTTTAAAGTTTAATTTGAGTAGATTAGCATCCCTTATAATCCTTGGCCTTAAACGATCCCTACTTACATATACTACAATCATAGGGTTTTAATTTGAGTGTTGGAATATTTCACATCACACCACACACATAAGAGCCTAAAATCAGAAAAATACACAATTGTGCTGCAGCTTTTGAAGGAGGGAGAGAGAGCTTTGTGCCGTGCCTGCTATCCAAGGCCTTTGGAGTGCTGGAGCGTTTCTGGGTTCTATCTATCCTTATTTTTAGTTCAATGTTTAATTAGTTAGAGGTGAATTCAAAGCCATGAACATATATGTGATATGAATTGATTACATCTAGTTCTTGTTTCATAAATCGTGAATGCAATTTACTTATCTGTTTTATGGAGAACTTGTTCTTGTGTGTTGATTAAGGATGCATACTTAGTTTGCATGCATGAATTTGATGCTAGAATATAAGGGAATTTCACCTAATCGTTATGAACTTATATTCACAAGTAGTAAAAGTCACTAGTCATGATTGTGTTAAGTAAATTCTTGGCAAGAGTATCATGCAGTTCATAGTTACGAATGCCTTGTCAATGCTTATGATTTTGATAGAACTTAATGATCTTTGATATGTATCTCTATCATGCTGTTCATATAGGGAACTTGATAAGAATAAGTTGGTTGTGTCGCTGAGTCTAATTCAATGAATTTAGGAAAATCTGAAAGTTAATTTGTGCTTCTCACGATTAATTTGGGGCATTGTCATTCATGGTTTATAGGAATAATAACTGGAAATTGATTTGTATACATATGTGTCATGTGTGAAGAAGGACCCTCTAGCTAGCCTTACACCCCTAAAAACATCCAATTTCGTATTACCTTTAGTTTGTTTCTGTAAGTACTTAGGTTTACTTTAAATTCGTCAAAACAACCCCCATTTAGTATTCTGAGTCTTTTTAGTTTAATTTTCGTCCAAATCACCCTCTAGTTCTTGTTTTGAGTCAATTTAACTTAGTTTTGTGTTAATTGAGTCAGTTTAGCTTGTTTTGAGTTGTTTGAGTCTAGTTTCAGTTTTTAAGTTTAATTTGTGTTGATTAGCATCCCTAAGGTACCGTTTGGTATGTGGGACGGGGCGTTCCGTCCCACGTTTGGTGCGCCTAAAACGGGTGGAACATACTGTTCCACGGAACGAGTTTTGGGTGAATTTTTGTTCCACCTCATCCCCCTAGAACGACTCGTTCCACATCCGTGGAACACAAAAGTATAACCTCTCCGTCCTCTCTTCTTCCTCCTTGTTTCCATCTGAGGGCATCTTCGCTCCCTCTCTGTTTCGTCCCGTCCCATCTACATACCAAACGATACCTAACTAATCCCCGACCTAGAACGATCCCTACTTACGCCTACTACAACTATCTTAATAGGGTTTAACTTGTGTGTTAGTTTTTACCACATCATGAACTTGATTAGATTTTGCATTGTTTTAGGCCATTGCATATTAAGTCTATGATAAAAATTAGGGATTGTTTGTTTGATTTTTTCCGTATTCATAATTGTTCAGCATAATCAAAATTAGAGTTTTTTTTTGGTGTGCTGATTTTCAGGTACTCTATATTAGTAATTGCTTATTTCAAAAGGGAACGTGGGGATATGATAGAGATGTAACCAAATTTCCAATCTTCAACCATTGACTTTTTGTATGTAAATTTTTTTTTATCACGATACTCTATTATTTTTTGGAGTAATTAGTTTAACAATTGATATCTGTTGTTTTGGCATAGGAATGTGGTCGGTCAGGCAATTAATATGAGGATTATGAGGACAATGAGAATGGCAAAGAATATGAAGAGGAAGAGGAAAATTCGGAAAAGTTTCACCCCCATTACATTTGCACCTTACAGTTTCCAGTTGGATTGAAATCCTCCATCTTCTTCCATATGCTCACCAGTCTCCTCTAACGGAATATTCAAAAGGATAAACATGGGATGAAACTGTAAAGCAATGGACAGTTTTACGAGAAAGAACACAAAATTTAGAGCATAACAGGTTCCTTTGTTTCTTTGCAGATGAATGGAGAACTTTAAGACATTTCTCATGTGGATTTTTCTTATAGAAAAGGTATGGTATTCTGTATGATCTTACCTACTTTTTTTTTCGAGTGTCGTGTGATTGTTTTCTAATAAACTTAGGCTATCCGTATTTTTTTTCCTTATCTCTTTCCTATGTTACTTACTGTGGGGATGCATCTAAGTAGTTTTACATGAGATCCAAATGGGAAAAATAAAAATAAAAAATCCTTCTGAAAATAACAAAATGAATACTTATGGCAAGAGGATCAAAGTGCTCCCACACTTCTGATTCTAATGGAATGCAATATGATTACCCAAAAACCTTACACAGTTAAAATAATTGCACTAATTATACAAGAGAAGTTAAACTGTAAATCATATTCAATCATGAGGACAAATAACCCTGCAAAAAATTGTTCATGCCCATAATGTGGTCATCCGAATTTTGTATTGACTGGTCCATTGATTTTTGTGAAGGAAATCAGAATATAGGCCTGTTGCCTGCGATATGATTGACATAGTTTAATTAGATTGAAACCAGACATACCCATCTAATGTATATGCTAAATGCATTCGTCATCTTTAGGGGCATGTAGTGCCCGTGATTAAAAAAGGCCTCTCACATGAGTGTAAGCGTATGTGGAGATATAAGGTTTTGATCTCCCTCATTTTGGTATATGATTGGATTTTTATTGTAGTAGATTCGATTTGCAAAATTACAATTGCTTTGCTCTTAGTTCTCCACGATTGTTTTATCTATTATTCTTTCATTTCTTTTCATTTCGTGTGCTTTTTTTTCTTGACTGGCCAGGAACAAGATAAAGCTTTTTGATTGTTTGGATCGACAGGGAACAACAAGCATTTTTGCAAGCCATTTGAAGTCCATCTAAATAAGAATTCAGGACTATGTGTTGTCTTGCTTAATCAGGTTTTTGTTTTGGGTTTTATATATCTTAGTTTCAAACAATTCTATATGGCTTCATTTGTATGCTTTTAATTCAATGTTTGGGTGAGAAGTTGGACGTCTTCTTTATTTGAAAAATAAATAAATAAATTTCCTCTTTTCCATGGTGATCAGTGCAAAGAGAATGAACCACTGGAGATCTGCTATGCCAAAAAGAAAACAAGTACGGAAGATGGAGATTAGTTCTTAACTGCTCTCATTGTGGAGGACAAAAGTATAAACATTAAACACAAAGGTTTTTGAATTATATGTGGATTGAGGAGAAAAATATAAGAGTATATAAAATATAATTTCTCTTTCCGTGTTTAGTGAATGGAATAACAAATTTCTGTATAATTTTAGTACTTCTGCAAACAAGTACCGTCTGATAGCAAATTGTCAATTTTACTTGCAACATTTTTAATGTGCACAGTGTTGACATGCCAATGTCTAAAACCAAATAGAAATTTATAAGTTCAATTAGCATTTGATTAAAAACCAGTGCTCGTAGAGAAAAGGATATCAAACCAATGTTTTCGGAGCAACTAGGTGAATTCTAAAAGCCCGTGCTCACTGGTAGGATTTCATTTCCTTGCAAACAAAGTTAACTTTCAATTCTAGAGATTCTGGATTGTGATTCAAGATTTTTGGTTTCGTTCTAATCATCAGACAAGGCCTCGAGAATTTAATGCCCATAGAAAAAAAGATATCAAAACACTTTTGTAATTCATCGTCTCTGCATAAGATTGCAATCAGTTATCTCTAATACGTACGACCAACAATCAATTCAGTTTATATTCAGAGCTTCACCATTTTCTCTTGATACATTTTTTCTGCATTTTGTACTGTAATTGCAATCGTACTCATTCCTTTGCTACACCAACTTCAGAGTGAATTAAGGTTTTTTCTGCATTTTGTACTGTACTACATTTTTTCTACAAGTTCTTTTTTCAAAAATACAATGTCCAAATTCATTTTAGTTGTACTCTATTTGTAGTGCTGATGTTGCAGAATTTATTGTCATTATTAAATAATGGATTTCAAAGATAACAACATGGGTAATGCTAGGGAGACTAAATTTGTAGACAATATTTGTGATTTTATCTTTCTTAATAGTCGAAAAAATTCAGATTTCATACTTATTTGTTTTGGTGCGTGTGATAAAAAACGTTTGATAATGTGGCACCAATGATAAAAAAATTATAACAATGGCTACAAATTGGCATACGTGGTTTCGACATATGTAAAAGTTCTTTGGGTGTAACACCCGAAATTACAGAACAATAAGCCTTGACTATGTGCGTTAATTAGAAAGCATGGTTATAATAATAGTTTGTAACACAATCGTAGAGAAAAAAAAATCATAAGGAGATGATTGAAAAAAAGAAAATAATAAGAAATTGTTATGACATTCTCACATGCATAACCAAAGTAACACATTTTTAGGGGCGCGTAGCGCCCATGAAGAAAAAATGCCTCTCGCATGAGCATGAGCGCGTGCGGAGAGGCTAGTATCCTATAAAAGTCCTCGTTAATCTCTATCTCTTCGAATGCCATTCCATATCTATATCTTCTGGGCCATTCTTATCTAAATCCACAATCCCATCTTTCGGCCGAAAAGTTAATATTTTGGCCCAAACCGTAATTTTTGGCCCAAACACCAATTTTGCTATAAATTATATATACTAAAACTCAGTTTTACTAACACTGTTCATTAACAGTGAAATGGCGAAATTACCCTCTATTTCTTCTTGGTTCCCCGTTCTGTTCTCTTCTAGGTGCAGTGAAATGGCCTTTTTGCCCATGTTGGGCATGGGCCCATCATCCTACTTCTTTAGCCTTCAATTAGGTTTTTTCTTCCCCTTACCTTTCTGTTGGCTTTTCCCTCTCGCCGATCTCTGCTTCGATTCGTCTTAATTTGCGTTATGTTCTTCTAAAATCTTGCGTTACTCGGAAATCCTCTGTCTTTATTTCACAATATATTCACGAAATTGGCCTCTAAATTTTTATCCTTTGTTCTAAAATCCTGCGTTCCTTATTTTTGTTTTTTTGGGGATTTGGCTTGCGGTCTCCGTTTTCAAAGAAGTCGTGCATCCCTGTGAACGTAGATTTGTTGACGTTTTGTGGAAACTCATAAAATTGGTTTCCAAGGTTTTATCCTGAACTTGCAATCGCTGGGAATACTTTGCGTCTCTTTTTCCGTTTGTCATACCGGAGTTGTCGCCGGATTTCCGACGAATTTTCAGCCCAGCTTAGGAACGGCCTATTTTCATGTTATTGTCCGATAAATTCTATTGAACCCAGGTGCGTTTTATAACAGCTGGGTGTGATTTTTTTTTAAATTTTGGATGTTTATTGATTTGAACTAACGAAACCCTAACAATTTGGTTTTACAATGAGTTGTAGTGTTGTTGAGGCTTTGCCGGCTAGAAGCGGATTCTGCCTTTGACGTCATTTGTTGAAAAATCTGAAATTTGGCAGGAGCTGGAATTGTTGTTTTGCGTAAGGTTTCCCTACGTCCACTTCTTCATTATTCTGTATGCATTTCTTATTTAAATCATTCGAATTTGTTTTTTGTTGAGTTTGATTTTGTGTGAATTCATTTCAATGGATATCTCAAAACCACATTTTTAGACTAAAAAGTCAATCCTGATACTATTCACTTTACCTTTTATTTTGTTCTTATCGTTAAAACTCAAAGTTTTCAAGCTCTTTTTATTAGTTTTCCTTAAATCAAAAGGGATTGAATAAACACAACGGAGATGTATTTAAAGTCAATCGTATAACTTTGTGGACGAGATATTAAATGGATCTTTTTGAAGTAATTAACAAATTTGAGATTAAGAATGATTGCATCAGGAAGAGATTATGAGTTTAGCAGCTCATCAGGAAAAATATGCAAGTAAAAGCTTTAAGTTTTGTATGACACATTATATTTTTGTATGGTAGTTGGTAGATATTTTTTTTTTTCTATTTGAGATTTCTTATTGTTGTATTTATGTTAAGATTTCTTTTGCTAATTGATATTTTTCTATTTATACATTCTCTTTTTTTGGTGAACACTATTTGTACATTCTTTACAAGCAATTTAATCTGTATATTCATGTTTTCATAAATTGATGAAATTTAGATTTTGGTTGAGAAACTTTCTAACAAAATGGAAATAGTCCAAATCAGCGTTTTGCAAGCTTTTAGGCCGCCAAAAAAAATAAGGGCCCAGGCGTGTAGTGTGTGGAGAAGGTAAAGTAGGTAAATTTAAAAAACTCATGTTTGTACAAGCTGTTATATTTTGAACAACTCTATAGGTGTATATAGAGTTGTCAACAACTAATATAGATTTTATGTGAATACTTTTCATATTTTATGTAAATAGTTTTTTTGATATATCTATGATTGTGCTTACAACTCATTTAATATCTTATTCTAACACTATTATACAACTTATAATGATATTCTCGCGGCAAGGTATTAAAGCTCTAGTCTCTGCTAAATCTATACTTTAGGTACCGTTTGGTATGCAGATGGGACGGGACGGAACGGAACGGGATGAGACAGGACGGGACAGGATGGGACAAAACGAAAGTTTCGTGTTATGTTTGGTACGCACATGACGGAATGGGACAGTTGTTCCGTTCTGCATTTGGTATGCACTGGACGGAACGGAACCAAAAGATTGAATGACTAATTTACCCTTGCTCCATTAATCTTCACCACACATTTTTTATCATCCAAATCTCCCTTTGCAATCTGTTTCAAGATGGTTATCTCATCCATGGCCGCCTCGGTGTAGTGGTCAGCACTCTTTTGCACTTTCAGAGCAACAAATCTCTGGCATTTTTGTGCAATTTAACACCCACCCAACAAAAACAAAACACATTTGTCATTAATCCTCCATTAATTTACTTAAAACTAAGCATGTCAAAGATAAAAAAAACCAAGAACAAGATTAAAATTTCAATTACTTTCCCCCACATTCTCAAACAACTAATATCTACAACCTCAGATCAAAAAGCAATAAAACTCAGTGTCGTAAAAAGAGAAGAGAGAGGGAGAGAGGAGTACGGAGTGTTAGGTGTCCCAGGCGAGCCAGATGGTGGAGAAATGGCCCCAGCCGAGCTTGGTTTGAACGACATACCATCCACTTTTGAAAGTGTCACTGATTCGGACGGTGTGGTAGCCGCCGCGCCGGTAGTCCTCCGTGCCTTTGTCCTCCGACGTGTAGTCGCTGCTCTGATTCCGATTGAAATTTTCCCATAAAATTGAATTTTTCAATGGAAAAATCAAGAAAACGAACCTGAAGATGCAGCGGCTATGGGAGAAGATCAAGATCGAACTTGGAGATGCAGCTACTACTGGAGAGGATGAGGAGGAAGGCTACGGGAAAAGGCAGCTGCAGGCAGAGAAGATGGAACGAAGAAGATAGAATTTTAGGGTTCGTTTTTTTTTATGGTGTAAATATTGAAAAAGATAAGGGGTATTTTTGTCTTAAAATGTTATAATTTTGTGTTCCACGGATGTGGAACAAATCGTTCCAGGGGGTGAGGCGGAACCAAAATTCACCCAAAACTCGTCCCGTGGAACAACGCTTTCCACCCGTTTTAGGCACACCAAACGTGGAACGGAACGGAACGTCTCGTCTCATTCTATTCTGTCCCGTCCCACGTACCAAACAGTACCTAACAGTGTGTTTGAATGGAAAAATTAAGATCATTAAAGAATTTCAAAATGGCGGAATTTTATTTTTTTTGAATTTGTGAATTTTCTTATTTTGGTTAACCTAAAAAACACCATGGAAGTTGAATACATAATTTTTTTTTATTTTTAAACTCTTACTAATAAAAATTTGGAAATGACATCTATTTACATGAAATTTAAACTTGGGAATTAGAGGTCCCAAATTTCAAGTTTGTTTTTTGTTTTAACGTTAGAATTTTAAATTTTCTATGTTTATGAATGCAAACAAAAGAATTAGTGCATGTTAATATATAAATTCTGATTTTTGTCTAATTTCAAATTTATTTCTCTCATCCAAATATAATGTAAGAGTTTATTATAAAGCACCTTTAGCAGAATCTTAACTGAAAACCCAAAACATAGAAAAAAAATAAAAAAATAAATAAAGAGAAGCATGACTTACTCAAATGATAATACTTTCTTGGTTCTTGAGAAGGATTATAAATGTCACAATCAGAACTGATTATTTTCTGTATCATTATCTAAAGAACATCTCTTGAAAAAATTAATTGATTTCGAGACCTTATAGTCTTCCAGATGAATACAAAATTTGATAATTCATCAATATTTTTTTAGCAGAGTGATAAGATTAGTGAGATAGACATGTAGTCAGTGGCGGAGCCAGAGTTCTGAATGAGGAGGGGCCTTTCACAAATATGTATGTATGTATGTATGTATGTATGTGTGTGTGTGTGTGTGTGTATATATATATATATATATAGTGTGTGTGTGTGTAAAAAGTTGAATTCATAACATGTTGACATATGCAATTTGTATAATCCTCACAAAACTGAAAAGATCTCTTAAATTCAATACTAAGAAGAAAAACATGTAAAACCCCAGACAACCAAGTAAGAGGTAGGTTGTGGAAGGCTAAAGAAAATACAAAGAAGTAGAAAAAGAAGGAAAAGGGGGAGAGGTCTGCAAATAAAGAAGGTGGGTTGCTTTAGAAAATTATAGGGTGTATATTACTGTTAGGTGAGATAATCGAACCAGAAGTGGGGTCACTTTTTCCATTTAAAATTGCACATCTCTTTTAAAACTCTCCTGCCAAACTTATCGTTTCATTAGATAGCCGAAAAAATTTAAAATCAAAACAGCTTAATGACGTTGTTTGCTTCATCTTCTTCCATGAGGTTCACACCTCAGATGAAGTCAGGATGAGCCGGTGACTACCCTAGTCCCTTGGTGGCTCTGCCCCTGCATGTAGTTGTAAGGGAGGAGAAGAGTATGTGGGGATCGAACCAGTACCAGAGTGTATAAACATAATTCATTTGTGACACTGCGGTAAAACATCATTTGCATAATTCATCATACTTGTTACTACTCACAATTTGCATTGAACTAAAAAGAAGAAACAAGAATGACCAATATTATTGCATTCGAAGTTTGGATGAGAAACTAAGGGGAGTTTTGGGCCACGCAGAGAATTGTATGTGCAATTTTTCCGTATTGCACTCCTCCATTACGGCAACAACGCTTATAGAATCAACACTCCAACAACAAATTTCTCTTTCGTTAATTAATTTAAAAAAAAATATGTGGACTATCATAAATTCATTTTATGAACATTTTAATCTAAAAATATTTAAATTCCAATAAATATTGAAAAATCACTAAATTTTCCACAAAGCAAGCTTTCAACTTTCACCAATCATTCAACCCTGGGCTAACTTTCAATTCACCAACAGTTTAACACCAAACTTTGAACTTTCACCATTAGATTTGAACAAATACATAGGTATTTATAGAGTTTTGGGGTGAATTTTGAGTTAAATAATATTTTTTAATTATTTTAACCATTGGATTTAAATTTGGGCATTTAGATTTTTTTTTTTACCGTTGGATTTGATTATATTCGATCTCAGCCGTTGGATTCAATGTATTTTAAAATAACATATTCTAAAATTTTTAAAATAACATATTCTAAAAAAATTAAATTTGAATCTGGACCATTGGATCAACCAACGGTCCTTAGATCTCAGCCCTTGGTTTAAAAATAGAGCCGTTGGGGTTTTTTTGGGTGTCCGATAGCCTATGACAGAGGGACCCACCCTTGTCGGGCAATGTCTACAAGCCCATTGCGTGGGCGTGTTGGAGAGTGACCGGGCCGAGACTGGCCCAACTACTGGTGAGTCTACTCGCATGGGGGGGTATTTGGCCCAACTTTGGCATTTGGCTTTTAGCCCAATGTTTTAGCATGGGTTGGAGGGTGTTTTGGGGGGAGGAATAAATGGGAAAATTTAGCATTTAGCCCATCATTGGAGATGGTCTTAGAGATCTAATACTAGTAGGCAATACAAAAACAAAACTCAATAAAATAATAAAAGACGAAGAAAATATAAAATAAAAAAGGCTAGGGTGATTTTCAGTTGGATTGGATCGGAAACAAGCATTCCAATGCTAATCTAAAAGATTTTCGGATTCAACTATTAGTTCCAATTCAAAATTCTGGCTTATCGGAAATAATCAGGAATTTCGAAGTCGGTTTTCTCTTTGAACATGGTTCGGATTTGCTACATTTTACAAGATTGAGAAAAACACCGTTCAATATTGTTTCAAATTTTTTTGTGATATATACAAGCCGTTATCTGTGTGTATGACATAAAATCATATTAGATAAGATAAAATAGTACGTATGATTATATTCTTCCTTTTAATTATATAATAGTATGACTAAATACACAAAATACCAAATAAAACCTATACAAATATAACAATAAACTTGACAAAAAAAGAATAGATATAAGGGAGTTTTAATGAAAAGGGCCTGACACTATTCATTCTTAATCAAAATGACATTTTGTGTATGAAAAGTCCATAACAGATCAGGCTCTTTTCTTTATTTACTCTTATGCCATTACAGCGGGTCCACAATGATGTTGACATTTCTGTCTGGGAATACATTATTTTACATTATGCTATTAAACTTATGCTAATTTACAGCCAGTTCTTCATGCTTCCATCATGTTGTCGATGTTTTGCATCTCTTCTTCTGTCAAATTATTACAGTACTGTTCATCGCCTTCTTCTAGCTCTGCATCTCTTTCTCTATCTTCTTTCATCTTGTAGTACATTTCTGCTCTTTCTTCTTTGAAATTTTGAGGCTTCTAATAAGGCTAATAACTGATTCTTGTCTTGCTGTAAAAATACATCTCTTCTTCCTTTACTACTAATACCATATTATACCTAAAATCTTCAAACTCATCTAAGGCAAACATTTGGATACTTCTAAATTTTAAAATATCTTTGTATGAAGGAGTCCACCTATGTGAGGAGATAGGGGATAGTCTAAAGGACTCTTCATTAATCATGGCTATATGCCTAGCTTTCTCCTTATGCATATGTACATACCAATCTGGAGGACTGCTAATAAAGCTTATGCAAATTTCTTTCCACCTTTCCAGATAATCTTTCGCTACTTTATAAGTTTTTCAGGAAATCATTCTAGTTGGGAAATACGGTTAATGAATATTTTATCAAGATCGCCAAACTCCAATAGTAAGGCAAGGGTAACTTCTATCACATTATGCTTTTTCTGATGCTCATAACTAAAATGCCATGGTCTAAAATCTCTCATGTTAATCCTGGCCACAACTATGCTAAGCTCTGGTTTATAAATACAATTCTATGTACTATCACAAAGATATGGTGGATACATCTTTGTAAAAATATTCATCCCTGGCTTTGGATCAAAGATGGATTGATACAATGTGCATTGTAATTGTAATTGTAACTATTTCATGTACTGTGATGCTCTGCTCAAGATCTCATTTTGCATATCTGTTGGCATTATTCTTAGTTTTGCTTTTGAAATTTCTTCTAATAAAATATTATCTAATATTAAGTCTAAAGATATATTCCTAAGAAAACTTTCATATTTTTCTTTTTTGTCTTTGTTACTCAAATGCTGATGCTGCTCATTATTTTGATGCTGCTCCATTTCAATGTCTTCTTCTGATAGCTCAATCTTAATCTCTTCTATGGGCTCATTAGCCTCTTGTTCTATGGATTCACTAACCTCTTTTCCTTTATTCTTATGATGATCAATTTCTAAACCTATTTTCAATTCTCTTTTCAGGGTGTTACTTGCATTCTGCTGCATTCTAAGAGCTTGGAGTTCTTGGTTCATTTCGGTAAACTTACTGAGTAAAGACTCATGTTCTCTGGAGATGACTTGAAGGTTATGCTCAAGAGAGTGAATATGATGCTGGCTTTGATGGAAATTAAAATTAAAACTATCAAACTCTTGTTCCAAGGTTCTAATTAATTTTTCATGACCTAACCTCATGCTTGGCTGCTTGATTTGGATATTCCAAAAATTATCTAAGAGAACCTGTTGCCTATCAGAAAGCCCTGGTGCTCTTGACCTATATCTCAAGGTTGAATTTCTGATTCCTTTAACAATATTGTCATTAAAGTTGAAAGTAGGTACTGGTGGTGATGCTGGTCTGCTTATGTTATTTTGCAATCCATTGAATGGAGGAGGTTGATGGTGCATCATTATGCTATTGAAAGAAGCTCTTCTGCCTTGCGGCCTTGTGCTATTTGCTGATGATGGTCCACGATATTCCATACATGTTCAACAAATTAATCTTGATAAGATATCGACTAATGTATTGTCATTACCTTTTATATGTTCAAAAATTGGTTTAAATCCATTTCCTGTAATTGAATCAACAAAATTACCCCATCTTCGGGCTGCCTGTTTATTAGCATGTATCTTATTATAATGA